CAAACAAAAAAAAGTGATCTAACTTTCTGGGGATCTTCAGCTGCCTTGACCTTGCTCACCTGCCTTACCATTTTCTGGCTACTGTCTTTCTCTCCCTGTGCCTCACTGCTTAACATTCCAATTAGAATATTGTTTCTGTGAATGCTGACTGCAGGCCCACCAGAGAAACAGCCTTTGCCCTCCATGGACAAACCCAGTCTGCAATGGCATATTTTTTCTCCTCACTTTAGTTTTTCCCTCTTTTGATACCATTCTGCAACAGTCTTCATTCCTAGGGCACGTAATTTATCAGTGGAACTCCCAGCAGTATTTGGAGAGAGGTATTTCCTTCCTTCTCCCATCCCCTCCCCTCCCCTCCTCTGCCCTCCTCTCCCCTCCCCTCTCCTTCAACAATGTCTTGCTCTGTTGTCCAGGCTGGAGTTCCTTCCGACAGTGTCTTGCTTTGTTGTCCAGGCTGGAGTGCAGTGGTGGCATTATAACTCACTGTAACCTCAAACTCCTGGGCTCAAGTGATCCTCCTCCCTTAGCCTCCAAAGTAGCTGGGACTACAAGCACACACCACCATGCCTAGCTAATTTGTTTATTTTTTTTAGAGATAGGGATCTCACTTTGTTGCCTACACTATTCTCAAACTCCTGGCCTCCTCCTAGCCATGCATGGTGATGCACGCCTGTAGTCCCAGCTGCTTGGGAGGCTGAGGCAGGAGAATTGCTTGAGCCTGGGGGGTTGAGGCTGCAGTGAGCCATGATCATGCCACTGCACTTTGTTCTGGGTGACAAAGCAATACTCTGTCTCAAAACAAACAAAAAAAGAAATGTGATCAGATTGGATCATGTATTCAAAACTAATGAGCCTTACGCATTCCCATTGGGATAACTTATATTATTCTGATCTGTGAAATACCGGCTACTGATTTTCTAATGTCTCATGTGGCATCAAAGCATGCTGATGCAGAGTGAAAGATGGAAGGGAGGGGAAGGTTTCCCCAACTGGTTTATTTCTTATCCACTCCAAAGAACAGTGTCAAAAGTAACTGAGTAGACATCCTGTAGACATTCTACAAAGTATAGATCTGTAGAGTTTTTTGAAATGAAAATTTTCTTTATGCTGTATGATCATAATTAATTTATAATCTTACTCATTGGGTTGGCTCTGAAATAGGAAACAAGTAAGTAAGTATCCATCTTCTAGGGGAACAGGTGAGTGATGAAAGTAGAAGCACATCAGAGTCAGCCGGGTGCAGTGGCTCACACCTGTAATCCCAGCACTTTGGGAGGCTGAGACGGGCAGATCACGAGGTCAGAAGTTCAAGACCAGCCTGGCCAAGATGTTGAAACCCCGTCTCTACTAAAAAAAATACAAAAATTAGCTGGTTGTGGTGGTGTGTGCCTGTAGTCCCAGCTACTCAGGAAGCTGAGGCAGTAGAATCACTTGAACCCGGGAGGCAGAGGTTGCAGTGAGCTGAGATTGTGCCACTGCACTCCAGCCTGGACAACAGAGTGAGACTCCATCTCTAAAAAAAAAAAACAAAAAGAAAAGAAAACAAAAAAACACGCATGTCAGAGATCTGGTCCTTGATTTGGTTGGCACTATTGATTTAGAGGTTAGAATCTCATAAGAAGACCCCAGGGGAATCTTTTGCCTTCTGTTCCGTGATCTCCACTGCACTGGCCTCCATCCCATTTCCACCTTCCCACCCTCCATTCCCGTCCCCTAGGAACAGAGTGTGGAGGTTGATCAGCTGAGTACATATTGAGCACTAGCATGAAGCTTTGCTCCACTTATTAGCATGACGGCTGCGCTGGGGGCAGCAGAACCAGCATAAACGTCATCCCTCCTCTCAGGGAGCTTGTGTTAACATGCACGAAACGGATGAGTCTGCCTCCTTCGCCTTTTGTACCAGCTTCAGTTTATAGAGTGACTGGCTGGAGTACTGTCTCAAGAAGGATTCTGGAATCACAAGAGAGATCAGTGAAGAAAGGGGCTCCTTGTTGATTAGTGTTGCCTGCCGTGGCCCAGGATGGGAGAAAATAGGTTATGTCCTGAATATATGGCATCCTCACACTGTCCAGTAAAGTGTGAAATAAAGTGTCAGTGGGTGACAGATGATAGAAGTTGCAACTGGTGCGGGTGAGACCTGGATGAACTGGAAAGGGGAGTGGACAGGTGGCGGGAGAGTGTGTTGGCCAGGACATCACGTAGGCACAGGCCCAGTGACTGGAAGTGGGTGAGCAGGGGAGCCATGACGAGGAACCTCTGGCTGGAGTGTTGGGTCAGCTGTGGAGGAGAGGTGGGAGGTTCAGTGGAAAAGTGAGGCAAGAGAGGTTATGAGGAACAAGGGTGGTGGCCGTGAAGCTTTCCAAGGTCAACTAATGAGATCCTTCCCTGCTTTCTCACTGTCGCCACAGACAGAGACCTAGCCTAGGCCAGAAGTTCTTTGAGGGCAGAGTGGTTGTATATAATAGACTTTCTTTCTTTTACTTTTTCTTTTTTTTTTTGAGATGGAGTTTTGCTCTTGTTGCCCAGGCTGGAGTGCAATGGTGCGATCTCGGCTCACCACAACCTTCACCTCCCAGGTTCAAGTGATTCTCCTTCCTCAGCCTCCCGAGTAGCTGGGATTACAGGCGCCCGCCACCACGCCCAGCTAATTTTTTTATTTTTAGTAAAGACAGGGTTTCTCCATGTTGGTCAGGCTGGTCTCGAACTCCTGACGTCAGGTGATCCACCCACCCTGGCTTCCCAAAGTGCTAGGATTACAGGTGTGAGCCCCGGCACCCGGCCTGTAATAGACTTCCAATAACAAAAGCCCTTGAGTAAAATGTCAGTTTTCTCCCATTCCTGCTAATTGATGGTATGTGTGGTTCTTGTCTTTTTCTTCCTTACCATTATATAAATACATTTTTAAAACACAGCTGGATTCCTATAGCCTTAAACAGCAACCTAAAAAGATGCAGCGTGTCGGGAGTGGTAGGAACCTTTCCCATTCTTCACCCCGCACAGCTGTGCAGAAGCAGTTACTGCAGTGCTGCTGGATCCTCACAAGTGATGACGCAGTTCAGTGGAACAATTACAGGGATGTTTGAATGGGAAATGGGAGAAAAATTGCAACTCTAATCCCCACTGTGGCCTGAGGCAAGTCTGGAGCAGTTCATACCCTGTTTTTAATTTTTTTTTCATACATCAAGTCTTGCTCTGTCCCCCAGGCTGGAATGCAGTGGTGTGATCTCGGCTCACTGCAACCTCTGCCTCCCAAGTTCAAGTGATTCTCTGCCTCAGCCTTCCAAGTAGCTGGGATTACAGGCATGTGCCATCACACCCGGCTAATTTTTTTCTTTTTTCTTTTTTCTTTTTTTTTTGAGACAGCGTCTTGTTCTGTCACCCAGGCTGGAGGGCAGTGGTGCAATCTTGGCTCTCTGCAAGCGCCGTCTCCTGGGTTCACACCATGCTTCTGCCTCTGCCTCCCAAGTAGGTGAGACTATAGGCGCCTGCGACCATGCACGGCTAATTTTTTTTTTTTTTTTGCATTTTTAGTAGTGACAGGGTTTTACCACGTTAGCCAGGATGTTTTCGATCTCCTGACCTCGTGGTCCGTCCGCCTAGACCTCCCAAAGTGCTGGTATTACAGGCATGAGCCACTGCGCCCGGCCCACACCTGGCTAATTTTTGTATTTTTAGTAGGGACAGTGTTTTGCCATGTTGGCCAGGTTGGTCTCGAACTCCTGGCCTCAAGTGATCCACCCGACTTGGCCTCCCAAAGTGCTGGTATTACAGGCATGAGCCACCGTGCTCTGCCCATATCCTCTCTTTTCCTAAGATTTTTTTACACCTTTGATTCTGGAAATTCTAAGAAAAAACTACATTTGAAGGAGAAATAAACCATTACATATCCCAGTTTCTCTTTGTTTAGGCATCTATCTCTTGGACACATTTAGGTTCGTGATGTCTCAATATTTGCTGACATCATAACCTTTTTGTGTTTAGGAAGTAGCGTGCTTTCAGGCTTGAAGCTTAGAGCCAGGCTGCTTAGTTTTTAATCCTGGCTCTCCTGTTTTCTTGTTATATTACTCTGGACAAAGTATTAAGCTTTTCTGAACTCTTTGAAAATGAGGATAGTAATAATACATACTATGTAAGTTTGTTGTAAAAAGTAAATGAGCTGGGCATGGTGGCTCACTCCTGTAATCCCAGCACTTTGGGAGGCCAAGGTGAGTGGATCACCTGAGGTCAGGAATTCGAGACCAGCCTGGGCAACATGGTGAAACCCTGTCTCTACTAAAAATAAAAGTTAGCTGGGCATAGTGGCGTGTGCCTGTAGTCCCGGCTACATGGGAGGCTGAGGCAGGAGAATTGCTTGAACCCTGAAGGCGGAGGTTGCAGTGGTCCAAGATCGTGCCGCTGCACTCCAGCCTGGATCAACAGAGCAAGACTCTTATCTCAAAAAAAAAAAAAAAAAAGGAAATGAAGTTCAGTGAGATGATGCGTGTAAAGCATGGACGTAATACCTGGTGCATCCTAAGTGTTCAGAAAATGATCACTATCGTTATTTAGGGTTTTCCTTGGTGGAGGGGTAAACGGTACTGAAATGATAGAAGGATCAGTTTCTTACTTTAGTGTTGGAGTCTAGGCTCAACTCTGCCACGAACTTGTGTGATAAACTTTCTAGGACTTAATTTTCTCATCTTTTAGCGGGACCAGTAATACCCTATCTTGCTTACAGGGGTTTGGAGTCCAGTGTGATAATGAAATGCCTTGAAAAGTATAAAACACAAATATCAATCGATTTAGAGATTAGAATCTCATACGTCAAATTTTATTACTGCTGTTGTAGGAGTGGTGGTGGTAGCGAATGATGATATTGATTAAAATTGATCCAATTTTAAGTTTTAAATGCAGTAGGAATAATTACTTGTGGCAGTAGTTTATGTACATTGCAAACAAGCACATTTGCTTTACTTTTCTTGAAGTTTAATAACATTTTTGGGTTTTTTTTTTCCTCCTAGGAACCTTGGAGAGCTGATAGATCGGTTTGTGGCTGATTTCAAAGCCCAGGGGCCGCCTAAGCCCAACACTGATGAAGGGGGTGCCGTGCTCCCCAGCTGCGCCGACCTCTTCGTGTACTACAAGAAGTGCATGGTGCAGTGCTCTCAGCTCAGTACGGGGGAGCCCATGATCGCCCTGACCACCATTTTCCAGAAGTACCTCCGAGAATACGCCTGGAAAATCCTCTCTGGCAACCTGCCCAAGTGAGTCCTGTTCTTCATAGTCTGAGTGGTGGCAAATAGACCTAAATATGGGAACCTTAAGGAAATCCACCCTGAAGTTGTTTACTGAACCACCAAGAGTATCAAGGAAGAAAGCAGGCTTCCTGAGTTCCTGAGGGCCTGACGCTGTTTCCTCTCTGACATTCCACAGCTGATCAAGACCATCAGAGGAAATGTCCACACTGGCTGCCCACGTGGCAAATCTTACCACAGTGGACTCGAGGGAACCTGTCCCATTGTACACTATTTAATATCCATGGATCCAACTATAGGTACTTGGCACGCACACAAAAAGTGAGGTTGTGGTGGAAATAACTGATAAATAGCTTCAGCAGTTTCACCCAAGCCTCATTCGGTGAGATGATGCCCCGGAGCGATGGGTGGGAGGAATGAATCCGCTTTTTCCTCATTCTGAGTAGGTGCCAAGTCCCTCTTGGGGTGCGCACTTCCCGCCATGCCGGACACAGCCTAATGTTTCGATGTGGTAGGATTGGGGGGCAGCTACTGCGTAACCCCCAATTATGGTGACTATTGTATTATCCTGAGGTATTAGAAGAGTGTTATATTGCTTACTATTGAAATAGGTGGATCATTCAACCAGGATTTTAGAGATGTTTTGATTATATGATAGGTTTGATTGTAATAGAATATGACCTAAAGTAATACTTGTGAATTTAGTAATTTCAAATCACCCCCATGGCTAAAAGAATTCCGGAATTTGTTTCTGTCATTATCACTAAAATGTATCACATATGGGAGTTTCACGTTATTTGGAAGAAAGAGAAGAAAATCCTGTGCTCACAGGAGATAGAAGTGACGGGTGTTTCACTAATGAGAATTCTTTGGCTATGATAAAAATTACTAAAATTTTTTTTTTTTTTTTGGAGATGGAGTTACACTCTTGTTGCCCAGGCTGGAGTACAATGGTGTGATTTTGGCCCACTGCAACCTCCGCCTTCCGGGTTCAAGCAATTCTCCTGCCTCAGCCTCCCGAGTAGCTGGGATTACAGGCGCCCGCCACCGCACTGGGCTAATTTTGTATTTTTAGTAGAGACGAGGTTTCTCCATGTTCTCGAACTCCCGACCTCAGGTGATCTGCTTGCCTCGGCCTCCCAAAGTGCTGGGATTACAGGCATGAGCCACCGCGCCAGTCTTAAAATTTTAATAACTTTTGTTCTGATTATCAAGATAGCACAGGTTCATCATAGCTTAGAAAACATAGGAACACATAAAGAAAAAAACAAAAATTGGCCGGATGCAGCGGCTCACGCCTGTAATCCCAGCACCTTGGGAGGCTGAGGCGGGCGGATCACTTGAGGTCAGGAGTTTGAAACCAGCCTGGCCAATATGGTGAAACCCCGCCTCTACTAACAATACAAAAATTAGCTAGGCATGGTGGCATGTGCCTGTAATCCCAGCTACTCGGGAGGCTGAGGCAGGAGAATTGCTTGAACCCGGGAGGCGGAGGTTGCAGTGAGCCGAGATTACGCCACTGCACTCCAGTGTGGGCATTGTGGGGAGACTCCGCCTTAAAAAAAAAATTATGTATAATCTCACTACCCAAAGAAAACTTAACTTTTTGGTATATATTTTTCCGTTCTTGATAGATACATAATGTGCGTGATCTGCGTGCTTTTGTTTATTTGTGTCACGGAATTGGGGCTGTACTGCTGATAGCTTTATTCCCTGCAGCCACCGATAGCTTTATTCCCTGCAGCTACTGTTTAACTTCATCCGGGGAGCATTTTCCCACACGTATTAGTCAGCGTCTCAACAGGAAAAAAATGGCATATTCAGCTGGGGTTTTGTCAGTAAAGAGACAGTTCACAGAAGTAGGGGCAAGGTGAAAGGAGCCAACAGAGGATTCTGAAGCCTCCAGATACGAGTGGGGAGTGGTTACTACCATAGAACTCACTCAGGAGCTGGAGTTGCCCCAAAAACCTGTAGTCACAGGAGGATGTGAGATGGATTTTGGCCTCTTGGGACACTTAGGGCCTTGGGCAGGAAGCGTGTCTTCACATTCGCCTATGTCCTCCTCCACAAGCACACAGAAGTCCCAGTGCAGACTTTTCTTAAGTGAAAGAAACAGGGTAGGTAACCACCTTTCGTGCTCCAGATGGTCCCCAATGAGTTCTGCATATCAGGAGATTCCGAACTAAAGAGAGGGCAGCTCAACAGCCTTCCCTTTGGATATTAGACCGTCCTGGTTAATGTGACTAATGACTGGCTGACGATTCAGGTTAACTAAAATAGGAATCATCTCTTCCTATTTCTGATGGTGAGAGAATCTAAACAGACGATAGTCAAGGTAAGGTCAGTAGGAAAAGGACTCATTGTATGAGGACTGATTTGGGCCATGTCCAGCCTTTACTTCCCCCCTTTCTTTTCTTAAAATATGTAGTTTCCAGTTCAGGAAGCAAATTAGAAATTCCAGGCTGACTCGTTCCTGTTGCTTTTCCTCAGAACCACAACCAGCAGTGGAGGGCTGACCATCAGCAGCCTCCTTAAGGAAAAGGAGGGCTCAGAAGCAGCCAAGTTCACTCTGGAGGAGCTCTGCCTCATCTGCAGCATCCTGAGCACAGCAGAGTACTGCCTGGCCACCACCCAGCAGGTGAGCCATCCGGGCTGCCCACCCACCACCGCCTTTTCCTGAACTCTGGGCCGCGTCGCTCAGCGAGTAAGAATATACGTCCTACCACGGCCACAGACAACCCTGAGTCAGACCAGTGGGCCTGCCACAGAGGAGAGCTCACCGTCCAGCCATAAGGCTGCCCAGGCAGCTGTCTTACAGGAAGGCCTTGTTAAAAGGAGACTGGGCAAGAAAGTAGGACTGGTCACCTCCCTGGCGTTGTGTAAGCTCCTCAAAGGGCATGACCCAGGAAAAGTAGGTCAGTAGCACTCCTGCCCGTATGAGAAAAGCAGGAACAGACTTGTCTGGACTAGGACCCAGCCTTTGGTGATGGCGAGTCACAGCCAGTTATTCCACGCTCAGAAGAGTCACAAAGTTAGGCAGAATGCTCTGGGCTTTTATGTCTTCTGAAATTTACATGGCATTTTCTTTTTTTTTTTTTTTTTTTTTTTTTGAGACGGAGTCTCTCTGTCACCCCAGGCTGGAGTGCAGTGGCCGGATCTCAGCTCACTGCAAGCTCCGCCTCCCGGGTTCACGCCATTCTCCTGCCTCAGCCTCCCGAGTAGCTGGGACTACAGGCGCCCGCCACCTCGCCCGGCTAGTTTTTTGTATTTTTAGTAGAGACGGGGTTTCACCGTGTTAGCCAGGATGGTCTCGATCTCCTGACCTCGTGATCCGCCCGTCTCGGCCTCCCAAAGTGCTGGGATTACAGGCTTGAGCCACCGCGCCCGGCCTTACATGGCATTTTCAATCTGCCTAAACAAACAGCCATTGTTTGGGATGCTGCCGTTCAGGAACTGGGGGGCAGGAAAGGGCGGTGTCTCTGCTGGAGGCCCCCAAGTGGCCGCAGTTCAGCAGCTGATGGGGCAGAAGGAAGACCCAGAATAACCTCTGACTCAGCCGTAAACGTGGGGTTAGAAATTCCTTTTCACACTGGGGCTGGGATTCCCTGAGGCCAAGAGAAAGAACATAATTTGGAAAGGTTCTGCTCTTCTGCCCTCTTTGTATTTATAGTTTACAGATGCCTAGACCACAGGAAGGCAGTCGTAAGTGATTTTTCAGACAGCACAGCTTGGAGCTCCTGTGAGCCAGGGCAGCAATACAGCAGGTCAAACAGGAAGTGTGTCCACAAAGGCCCCTCATGGCACGTAAGCCAGCCGGAGGCAGAGGCAGCAGCACACTCCGCCTGGGGGCCTGGTCGTGTTGAGCTGCGAAGGTCATGACCTGCCAGGGTTTGGCCTTGGAGCCACAGAGCAGTCCGTTTAGCCCCAGGCCACTCCCAGGGGAGATAGCACTATCCGTAAGGACCTCCAAGGCAGGGGTTCCAGAGTTCTTTTGGGAAGAAGCACTGTTGAACTATTTTGTGTCTGCAGAAAGAAAGACATATGTGTAAATATGCTATTTTAAAGGTAAAATAACTATAGTATAAAAAAACAAAAATGATCCCTCTTAATCCCATCATCCTCAAATAATCATATTAGCAATTTGGGATGTTTTTTCAATTGTTATTTATAGACATAGTTTTGTATGTTTTAATCTTAATTCACTGTTACATCCTTTTATTGTTAGTGTCATACGTAGCATTAGCATTTTTCCTGTCATTATGATAGTAATAATCATTATAACTATCATTACAGCATCATTATTACTATCATTGTTTGTGGCCACATAATATTTCTCTTTAAGGGACTATACCATAAATTATTTATTTATTTATTTTTTGAGGCGGAGTCTTGCTCTGTTGCCCAGGCTGGAGTGCAGTGGTGCGATCTTGGCTCACTGCAACCTCCGCCTCCCAGGTTCAAGCAATTCTTCTGCCTCAGCCTCCTGAGTAGCTGGGATTACAGGCACCCGCCACCACCCCTGGCTAATTTTTGTGGTTTTTTTTTTTTTTTAAAGTAGAGGTGGGTTTTACCATCTTGGCCAGGCTGGTCTCGAACTCCTGACCTTGTGATCCACCCGCCTCGGCCTCCCAAAGTTTTGGGATTACAGGCGTTAGCCACTGCACCTGGCCTTATACCATAAATTATTTAGCAATATCCCTGATCATTGTTTATGCTGCTGCGAATTTGCCTTTTTTTTTTTTTTTTTTTGAGACGGAGTCTTTCTCTGTTGCCCAGGCTGGAGTGCGGTGACATGATCTCGGCTCACTGCAAGCTCCGCCTCCTGGGTTCAGGCCATTCTCATGAGTAGCTGGGACTACAGGTGCCCATCACCATGTTCGGCTAGTTTTTTTGTATTTTTAGTAGAGTCGGGGTTTCACAATGTTAGCCAGGTTGGTCTCGATCTCCTGACCTTGTGATCCGCCCGCCTCGGCCTCCCAAAGTGCTGGGATTACAGGCGTGAGCCACTGCGAGTAGCTGGGACTACAGGTGCCCGCTACCACGCCTACTAATTTTTTGTATTTTTAGTAGAGATGGGGTTTCATCGTGTTAGCCAGGATGGTCTCCATCTCCTGACCTCGTGATCCACCCGCCTCGGCCTTCCAAAGTGCTGGGATTACAGGTGTGAGCCACCCACTGTGCCTGGCCAAAATTTTGCTTTTATAGATAATCCTGGCAGGGTATAGTGGCTCACGCCTGTAATCCTAGCATTTTGGGAGGCCAAGGCGGAAGGATCGCTTGAGGCCAAGAGTCACCAGCCTGGGCAACATAGTGAGACCTGGTCTTTACAAAAAATTTAAAAATTAGTTGAGTGTGGTGGCACATGCCTGTGGTCTCAGCTACTTGGGAAGCTGAGGTGGGAGGATTGCTTGAGCCTGGGAGGTCAAAGCTACAGTGAGCCAGGATTACACCCCTGCACTCCAGCCTGGGTGACAGAGTGAGACCCTGTCAAAAACAAAAAAACAAAAAACGCGATAATCCTTACAAAGAATGTCTTTCTGAATATAGCATCTTAAATATTTTGCATTAGTTTTCTAGAACAGACTCTTAGAAGTTCTAGAAATAGGTTGAAGACCATTTTGATGACTGATGATACAAGTAGCCAATTATTTTTTATTTAGTGAAAATTGTTTTTATTGATTATAAAAGTAATACATTCTTAGCACCTTTATTGTGATCTCTAAATACAGTTTTTCACTACAAGAAACCAGAGATTCCTGGAGAAAAATTCCAGGTCAAGGGCACAAAATGTACAAGATGAACCTAGAACATCGTGTTATACAAAAAGCAAGAAAAAACCAAAGACTATTTGTGTCATTTCAAGAGAACCCCGGGAGATATAGTGGGTTGAAGTGTCCCCCCAACACCAAAATATGTCCAAGTCCTAGGCCGTGGGACCTGGAAATGTGACCTTATCCTGATAAATGTAATTAGGTATCTCAAGATGAGCTGGTCCTAGATTTAGGGTTGGGGGGGGCCCTTACCTAATGACTGTTGTCCTTAGAAAGGAGAGAGAGATTGAACATGCAGAGATACAGGGAAGAAGGCCGTGGGAAGGAGGCAGAGGCTGGAGTCAGACTCTACAAACCAAGGAGCATCAAGGATTGTCATCAAACCCTCCGAAGCTAGAAGATGGGTGGGAACAGTTTCTCCCTCAGTGCCTCCAGAAGAGGGGGGCGCAGCGGCTCACACCGGTAATCCCAGCACTTTGGGAGGCCGAGGAGGGTGGATCACTTGAGGTCAGGAGTTTAGGACCAGCCCGGCCAACATGGCAAAACCCCATCTCTACTAAAAGAATACAGCAATTAGCCGGGTGTGGCGGCTCCTCACTTGGCAGTCTCCTTCCCCAAGCCTCAGGTCCCCACTTCAGTATCTGGCCACCCCCCTTCATCAGAGAGCCCCTCCTTGGCCAGCCCCCTTCAGCAGGCAACTCCCCTATTCCAGCATTGCCAAATTTGTTTCTTTCCTAACACCACAAAACTGAAGTTACATCTCGGCTGGCTTACTTCCTTATTATCTGGCTCCCCCATTAGTTTTAAGTTCCATGCCAGAAAGAGTCTACTCTGTTCATCTCTGTTCATTAGCACCAGATACGATGCCTGGTACATAGTAAGTGCTTAATGAAGATCTCTTGGAGAAATAAATAACCCACTCCTGAGATAATGGCATTAATCCACGATGAGACTTGGGGATTAAGTTTCTAACACATAAACTTTGGAGAACACAATCAAACCATAGAACGATGTTATAAATTGCTATTGTAAATAGTTTTTTTTTAAACTACACTTTTCAGGATATTTTTAGATTTATAGAAAAATTGCAGAGATCATTTGCATGGTTCCCATACACTACTTACCCAGTTTCCCATATTATTAACATTAATATGAAAAATGTGTTACAATTAATGAATCAATAACGATATATTTTTGGCGTTGCTTTTAAATTTTATTTTCCAATTCCTTGTTGCTCAGATTCTTTTTGTTTAATATGGGGCCTCAATCTGTTGCCCGGGCTGGAGTGCGGTGGTGCGATCACAGCTCACGGCAGCCTGGAATGAAAGCAATCCTCCCCTCAGCCTCCCAAGTGGCTGGGACCACACGGGGACTTCAGGCACCTGCCGCCATGCCGGCCAGTCGTTTTTGTTTTTGTGGAGATGAGGTCTCACTATGTTGCTCAGGCTGCTCTTGAACTCCTGGGCTCAAGTGATCCTCCTGCCTCAGCCCCACAGTGTTGGGATTACCGGCTGTGCCACTGGGCCTGGCCTGCTCAGATTATTACGTGATTCTCTGGGCTCTTCGCCTCCTGCGGCCTCCTCTGAGGAGCTGGTGGTTTTTCGCCTCCTGCGGCCTCCTCTGAGGAGCTGGTTCTCTGGTCTCTTCGCCTCCTGCGGCCTCCTCTGAGGAGCTGGTTCTCTGGTCTCTTCGCCTCCTGCGGCCTCCTCTGAGGAGCTGGTGGTTTTTCGCCTCCTGCGGCCTCCTCTGAGGAGCTGGTTCTCTGGTCTCTTCGCCTCCTGCGGCCTCCTCTGAGGAGCTGGTGGTTTTTCACCTCCTGCGGCCTCCTCTGAGGAGCCGGTGGTTTGCCCTGTAGATTCCCCCAAGGTTTGGATCTGGCTGATCGCACCCACAAGTATTAATGGCCATTTTACTGTGTCTCCTGTATTTCCCATAAACTGGTAGTTAGATGTAGAAGCCTGAACTGATTCAGGTTCCTTTTTACAGAAAACTACATCCTAGTGATGTTTTGTGTGTCTGCCGTCAAGATACACAATGCTTGGGTGCTCTTTGTGTGATGTCAGCAGCCACTGATGCTCAAAGCCCAGATTCTTTACTCCATTAGGAGGTAGAAAGAATGCTACTCCGGCCGGGCGCAGGGGCTCACGCCTGTAATCCCAGCACTCTGGGAGGCTGAGGTGGGCAGATCACCTGAGGTCAGGAGTTCGAGACCAGGCTGGCCAACATAGTAAAACCCCATCTCTACTAAAAATACAAAAATTAGGGCCGGGCGCGGTGGCTCATGCCTGTAATCCCAGCACTTTGGGAGGCCAGAGGCGGGTGGATCATGAGGTCAGAAGTTCAAGACCAGAATGGCCAACTTGTGGCCAAAAAGTGAGGAGCATGGAGAGCTTAGAAGGTGGAGGTACAGCAAAGCAAGGGAGTGGGCCAGCAGGGCTGAGCAGGGCGCGTTTCAGGGAGAGGAAGAAGTGGAGAGCTTAGAAGGTGGGGGTGCAGCAAAGCAAGGGAGTGGGCCAGCAGGGCTGAGCACGGCGCGTTTCAGGGAGAGGAAGAAGGAAGTGTGAAGTATGAAGGTCCTGAGGGCGAAGGACCCTGGGGTCTCCCGGAAATTTAAAAGGCCAGTGTAACTGAAGCCTAGCAGGCAAGGTGGAAAGTAGCAAGACGGGGCCAGAAAGCTGGGCAGGACCCAATTCATGGTTAGGAATTTGGATTTTATTTTCAGTGTCATAGGAAGAGCCTGCTGAAGAGTTTAAGCATGATAAGCCTGCGCCATAATTTGTTTTATCCCTTATAAATACACATGTAGATTGTTTCCAGCTTTATGAGGACAGTATTGATCTGTTTTGTTCACTGAATAACTCTCTTATTCTGTTACACAGCCTGAACAAAGAGGGCTTTCAGTAAATATTGGTTGAATTAATGAATGCTGCAAAAAATACGCGTATCTTTATCCGTTATTCTCCTTATTTCATTGAAATGCATTTCTAGCTGTGAAATTGCTGGTTTAGGCAATATGTGTATTTAAATTTTTGCTTTTTGAATAAATTACCTTCCAAAAAGGTTATACTAATTTATGCACCCCAGTAGCACTTTCAAATTTAAGACAAAACATTGGTTATTCTGGCTGGGCGTGGTGGCTCACGCCTGTAATCCCAGCTGTAGTCCCAGCTACTCAGCACTTTGGGACTCGGAGGTGGGTGGATCACCTGAGGTCAGGAGTTCAAGACCAGCCTGGCTGATATGGTGAAACCCCATCTCTACTAAAGATACGAAATTAGCTGGGCGTGGTGACGCACACCTGTAGTCTCAGCTACTCAGGAGGCTGAGGCAGGAGAATCGCTTGAACCTTGGAGGCGGAGGTTGCAGTGACCTGAGATCGTGCCATTGTACTCCAGCCTGGGCAACAAGAGTGAAACTCTGTCTCAAAAAAAAAAAAAAGGCCAAAACATTAGCTATTCTTAGAGTTTGTGTGATAGGTTTACGGTGCTAGATTAATCAACTCCCAGGGATATTTCCAAGTATTTATGAGTCCTGGTCCCGTTATTTTCCTTTGAGCTCCAGGAACATGTTGATTGTTTCTGTCCCTGGCTGTTGGCTGATGACAGCAGAGACCGCATTTCTTTTGTTTACCACTGTATCCCCAGTGCCTTAATGAGGCGACTGGCCCATCGTAGCATTCACTGGCTGTTTTAGCTGGTTTTACTGCTACTTACCACCAAAGGTTTCTAATCTGGGTGGGCAAGTTCATGGGGCAGGGAGTATCTTAAAATCAGGTTCTTTTCAGAATGAATTGATGGGAATTTTTGATGTGTCATAAGAAAGAAGTACAGCACAGTGCTAAAGGGCACAGGCTCTGGAGGGAGTTTGATTCCTGGCCCTACCACTTCTATCTTGGGTAGGCCCCCACACTTTTTTTCTGATCTGTAAAATGAGGATGATAACAATAGAATCTTCCTCGTAAGGTTATAAGATTGGCCAGGCACGGTGGCTCACACCTGTAATCCCAGCACTTTGGGAGGCCGAGGCGGGCGGATTACCTGAGGTTGGGAGTTTGAGACCATCCTGACCAACATGGAGAAATCCCTGTCTCTACTAAAAATACAAAATTAGCTGGGCGTGGTGGCAGGCGCCTGTACTCCCAGCTACTCGGGAGGCTGAGGCAGGAGAATCACTTGAACCCGGGAGGTGGAGGCTGCAGGGAGTTGAGGTCGCACCACTCCACTCCAGCCTTGCTCCACAAGAGTGAGACTCCGTCTCAAAAGAAAAAAAAAGCGTCTGGAATTATGCCTTAATCATCAAACTCAGTAAATGTTAACTATTATTATGATGCTACTTCTTTGGATGATCATTGACCATGCATCTGTTTCTCCTGTTTTCCAACAGCTAGAAGAAAAACTCAAAGAAAAAGTGGATGTAAGTCTGATTGAACGAATCAATCTGACTGGAGAGATGGACACGTTCAGCACGTAGGTACCTCACACACGCTTGATGCTACTTCTTTGGATGATCATTGACTATGCATCTGTTTCTCCTGTTTTCCAACAGCTAGAAGAAAACTCAGCAAAGTGGATGTGTAAGTCTGATTGAACGATCCTCAATCTGACTGAGATGGATAGCTGCCCAGCACGAGGGTACTTCACACACGCACTGCCTGTCCTGTCTCCTGATACGCAGCTGCTCAGCATGTATATACTCTCAGACACTTGCTTCACTGCCTGTCCTCTCTCTGTTACACACAGCAGTGTTTAGCACATACGTACCTCGCATGCTTGGCTCTGCCTTCCTCTCTCTGTTACACAGCAGCGTGCCTCAGGCTGTTGGCTTTAGTCACTGCAGAACCTAAGAGGTTTTCTGTTGGTCAGAACGAGTCCCTACTGGCCACTAAGAAGCTTCAGAACTGGGCTGCCATTGTACCTCCTCAAATGCAGCTGTTTTAGCTTTTATGGGTCTTTATTGTCTCACTGTGAAGAATAACCACAGAGAAGACATTCTCCTCACATCCCTGATCTGCTCCTTTACCTAAACTCCACAGAAGGCCAGGCCTACCTTCAGTGTTTTAAAGTGTAAAGTATAAATGGCTTGAATTTAGCCACTGAGGGAATAAGAGTGTGGGGTGACAGGGGAGGTCCACTTTCTTTCCCTGTTAGGACTTTGTGGCACTTTAGTTTTGGCCCATTTCGCTCCACTGCCATTACATGAGACAGGTATGGCCAGGCCGCAGCTTTCACATCAGCCGCTTTATTGGAGGAAAAATCAGAATTCTCTTCTTAATTTATTTCTTCCACTTCTCTTTATTTTCTTCAGTTCTGACTGGAAACATTTTTTTGGGAAGTGTGGTTCTTTTGTAGGAAGATGTGAACAGGGATACTGGGGTGTGATTAGGAGACTGGCCGTGGGGTTCTGTGTCCTGGACTGGGTGAGGATATAGCCGGGTAAAACCAGACGTGAAGAAAGAGCTAAGCTGCTCTTCCGCTGTTGATTGAAGCCTAAATCCTTTGCTGATGCGAAAATGATGAATCTGAGGTTGATACAGCAGAGGCCTGGAGTGTCAGCTTGCCAGATGGCCGTTGTTTGAAGTGTGACCACAGGGATTTTCTTTGATTTGCAGGTCATCTCCAGCAGTATTCAGCTGCTGGTTCAGGATCTGGATGCCGCCTGTGATCCTGCCCTGACGGCCATGAGCAAGGTAAGGTCGTGGAAATGGCTTTTCTGTATAACCATGGAGTGCGCCCCAGGTGGCGCGACTGTCTGTGGCTTCTCCAGGCTCATCGGAGCTGAAGGACAGCTGAGAGGAGAACGGAACGGCCCCCGGGAGTTCCTGAGAGCACTCAGTGTGTGTTGCACCCGGTCGGGTCGGGTTGCTTGTCCTTTTGTGAGACAGAGCATCACACAGTATTGAGGATGGCAAAAAAAGAGAGACGGCGCAAATGTGTTTCTGATGAGTCTAAAGGAGATGTTTTCTGTGGTTTATATTTTGGAGAGAGTGGTCTCTGTGTCACTCAGGCTGGAGGCAGTGGTGCTCCGTGGGCTCCCCTGCAGCCTCGACCCTCACCATCCGTCCTTCTGCCTCATAGCCTCCGAAGTAGCTGAGACTACAGGCGCTTGCCACTGCATCCAACTACTTTTAAATGTTTTGTAAAGTTAAGAGTTCTGATAGTTGTTCAGACTGGTCTTGAACTCCTTTGCGCCAAGCAGTCTTCCCACCGAGGCTCCTCCCAAAGTGCTGGGATTACAGGCATTAGCCATTGTGCCTAGCTGAGATGGATCATTTTTAATTACCGAGCGCTCCTCATGTTCCTGTTTTTGGCTTTATGTGCCTATATGCCTTTTTTTTCCCAAATGAATGTCAGTTCTGTAAGTGCACAGACCATGTCTTTCACCCCGCTTTACCTCTCACGTGAAGTCTTGAATGTGAGATTCATTTTTGTTAATTAAAAGTGAATCAGCCATGTTCTTTATTTGCTATGTGACATTTTTGATTAGTATCTGACACATGCTGGTGTCCTTGGTGTCTCACTAGAATGGGTGTCCCTGTCAGTGCTTAAAGCAGTAACTTCTGACTCATTCTTCATTCTCGCCCACTGAGAGGTTTTTCCGACTCGTTCTGAGCTCTGGTGCCAGTGCAAGAGTCCTTGATGAGGCTGTGAACTCTGGTTTTCTAATATCCTGGTGGCCCATCAGTCAGCCCTTGGCCCTCAAGTCCCTCCTTTGGCACTTACCGAGCACTACCTCATGTCTTATTTGGCTTTTATGTGCCTATGCCTTTTTTCCCAAATGAAGTCAATCCGTAGTGCACAGACCATGTCTTCACCCTCTTTGTCTCTCATGTAGCCTTTGAATTATGGGAGAGATTCATTTGTGTTAATTAAGTTGGAATGGCCTTGTTATGCTAAACCCGAGGAACATGCGAAGCTGCAACTCTAGAACTTTGCTGAGCAGGGATTGGTAAACTAGAGCTTGGGAACCAAATCTGGCCCACTGCTTGTTTTTGAAAATAAAGTTTTATTGGAACACAGCCACGTTCCTTTATTTACGATTCCTCTATAGCTGCCTTTTTTTGCAGTATGGTGGTAGAATTGAGCCACGGTAACAGAGACTAGCCTTACAAAGCTAAAAATTTAATATTAACTCTGACCCTTTATAGAAAAAGTTTGCCAGTGTCTGCTCTAGAGTCCTAGGCTCTTGTAGCAAATTCTGAGAAAATGATTTCCTCTGGGTCATACTGGCCAGTACCAGAGGGCAGGAGAATACCAACTGGAGTCAGATGACCTAACTCCTCCAGGGCTTTGGGTCTCGGAGGAGAGGGGATTCACCTGTCTGGGCCAACGTGACATCATATCTGGGCCTATCGTGACTTTAAGTGAACCGGGTGGATCTCTGCATCCTGCACATGCTGTGAGGATAAACACGAACACACGGGTCCAGTGGGTCGGGCACATAGTAAATAATTAAGAAACGTTAGTTCCCTCTCCTCTTGTCGTGAGGAGTGACCATGCCGCTGGTTGTGTAAGCAGACATTTGGTCTAAATTTGGTTTGCAGCAGATTATAAATATTTAACAAAATAAGATTAAAAACCAAAACGTAGGCTTTGGGGGTTTTGCGAACTTCGGAAGTGGCAAGTCCTAAAATAGCTGACGCCACAGTTTTATTCAGAAAGCTTCATCTTTTTTCATTTGCAGTCCGGTGCTGACAGGCACGTCTGGCATCCTGGGCATTCACAGGGAGGACGCGCCCCAGGCAGGCGGATTTGAGGCTGTCCGGGACGCTTCCGGCAGGCGGACGGAGGCCGTCCGGGACGCCCGGCAGGCGGACGGAGGCCGGCGTCCGGGACGCTTCGGCAGGCGGATTTGAGGCTGCCCGAGGCGTGGAGGGAGTTCATTTTGCAGGCTCTGCTTATCCCCTCCTGCTGGTGACCATTCCCCACATCCTGAGTGTGATCTGTCCCAGCTGCCGTCTCTCCTGAACTGCACACACTTTTTAGGTCGGGAATGCAGCTGGTGAAAGCATTTTCACATTTACCAAAGGAAGAGTGGAATTTTTTTTTTTTTTTCCAATAAAATCACAGTTGGAAGGGGTTTAACACTGCAGGTGTTGCTTATACCCACTGTCGGCTGGTTCTGTGGATTTCCCCAAACTCCTGCCCCGTCCCACCTCTATTTCTCCCCGTGCCCACACCAGCAAATATCTGCAGAGACTCGTGCCTCCTGAGTCCTTTGTTTCCAGGCCATAGGAAAACCACAGACCTGGGACGCAGCAGCTGGGAGGCCGAATCCCTTTTGTCTGAGTCTTCTGGAGTTGTAGCAAAATGAAATCCATGTGATGGAAATAAACAAGCCAAGTGGTCACAAATTGATTCACCGGAGATTATTCTGTGTTCTTTTTGGTGCCGGCATCCTGAAGCTGTGTAGTTTCTTCAGGATTTTAGGAAACTTCTGTGATGATGGTTGTTTCTGCCTCTGATTCTATCATTTTGGCCGCTTGTTGACAGTTCAGTTGAGACCCTGCCCCAGCACAGTGCTGAGCTGCGCAGGGCTCAGAAAGGCGGAAACCTTTGGCTGAGGTGTTTAGATTCCAGGAGCTGAGGGCAAGAGATGTGTAAGATGACAGCAACACCCGGAAACTTTAATAAAGAGGAGGAAATCAGTTCCCGTAAGAAAAGCATGGGAATATGCTTCTTTAAAGAGGGAGGAGTTCATATCCAGCTGGGGAGGCAAGAAGGCCTCGTAAGGAAGTGGTGTTTGAAGCAGATCAGGGTGAAGTTTTGAATGAATTTGTGGGATTAGAGGGCAGTTCAGATGGGGTGAAAACGTGAGTAAAGTTCTGTGAGGTGAGGAAAGCTGAAGAGTTTGGTGAAACTGCTACCTCACTCAGCATCCCAGGCTCCTCAGGCCACTCCTGTACTTGGACTGATAGGGTTAAGATCAGAAAGGAGACTGCCTCGCGGAGTCTGTACCTCGGGAGAAACAGAAGAACCAGTACTGTAAATAAATGTATCTTAGAAATATCAGAAGGACGGTTGACTTCAAGGCAAATGGGAGGTAGTGTCGCTGGATGATTCTGAGTTGACGGAAGGAGCTTTCCTTGACAAGATGGATTGCTGTGCAACTTTAGTTAAGTCATTCCTCTGTGAGACCTCATCCTCTGGAAGGCACCTGGTGGCCTCCTCCGTGGTTGGCATATAGAGCTTGATTTTCTGTCTCTTCACTCCACTGCTAGGCTGCTTCTGCCGCCCTCCGAGATGTGCCTAGTTCTCCCAGCCACACAGCCGTGTGTACTTCCCTGAATGCACACTGCTCTTTTGTGGCTTCCATGCCTTTTCTCATTTTATTCTTTCTGCCCAGAATTTTTCTGCTGTCATCTGCCCAAGAAGCACATCCTTTAAGATCGAGTTCAAATATCGCACCCTCGTTTAAAAACCTGAGGTATAACCCATATACCATAGAATTCACCCTTTGAAGTGTGCAGTTGGCCAGGCGCAGTGGCTCACGCCTGCAATCCCAGCACTTTGGGAGGCTGAGGAGGGCAAATCATTTGAGGTCAGGAGTTGGAGACCAGCCTGGCCAGCATGGTGAGACCCCGTCTCTACTAAAAATACAAAAACTTTGCTGGACGTGATGGGGCAGACCCCATAGTCCTGGTGATACCAGGAGGCGAGGTAGGAGAACCCACTTGAACCTGGGAGGTGGAGGTTGCCGTGAGCTCAGATTGCGCCACTGCACTCCAGCCTGGGCGACAGAGCGAGACTGTATCTTACAAATAAATAAATAAAGTGTACACTTGAAGTTGTTTTTAGTATACTCACAGTGTCATGAAACCACCACCACCATCTAATTCCAGAACATTCTGTCACCCCCAAAAAGAAATCCTCAGGCCTCTCAGCAGTCGCTTCATTCCGCTGACAACCATCAGCCTCCTTTCTGTCTCTGTGGATTTGCCTCTCTCCTGACATTTCCCGCACACATAGAATCCACATGGCGTGTGGCACGTCTTGCGCCTGGCTCTCCACTTAGCGTCAGAGCTGGGCACGCCACGGGGCGCAATGCACTCCATTCCTTTTGTGGCTGAGTGATATCTCATTGTGTGGATAGACCACATTGTGTTTATTCATTCATCTGTTGGATGTTTGAGTTATTTACTTAATTTGAATATTGCTGTGAACATTCACGTACAGGTTCAGTATGAACATGTTTTCAGTTCTCTCTTCAATATGTACCCAAAGGCCGGGCATGGTGGCTCAAGCCTGTAATCCCAGTGACGCTGAGAGGCCGAGACGGCCGGATTGCCTGAGGTCAGAGGCCCAAGAGCATCCTGGCCAACACAGTGAAACCCCCACTTTCATGAAAATACAAAATTATGGCCGGCGCGGTGCTCAAGCCTGTAATCCCAGCACTTTGGGAGGCCGAGACGGGCGGATCACGAGGTCAGAGATCAAGACCATCCTGGCTACCACGGTGAAACTCCCGTCTCTAGTAAAAATACAAAAAAAAAAATAGCCAGGCGAGGTGGCGAGCGCCTGTAGTCCCAGCTACTCGGGAGGCTGAGGCAGGAGAATGGTGTAAACCCGGGAGGCGGGAACTTGCAGTGAGCCGAGATCCGGCCACTGTACTCCAGCCTGGGCGACAGAGCGAGACTCCGTCTCCAAAAAAAAAAAAAAAATTAT